GTATGTGTGAGTGTGAGCGAGTGTGAATGTGTCTGTGCCTGCCTGTGTGTGCAAGCGTATGAGCGAGTGTGAATGACTGTGTGTGCTAGTGTTTGTGAATGCGACTGTGAGTGTGGATATTGTAGGAGTGCTTGTGTGCACAAGTGTGCGGGACTGTGTGTGTGCCTGTGTGTGTGCGAGTGTGTGTGAGCGAGTGTGTGAGGGTGAATGTGTGTGAACGTATCTGTGTGCACGTGTGAGTATGTGAGGGCGGTAGTGTGGAGCCGCCGGCCATGAGGACCGTGTGACGCTGACGGGGTGGTGCGTGGCAGGAGCCCTTAGTTCGCTGTGAGATTCGCGGCCGGCTCTCAACATCGGTTTTTCGGTCTGTCTTTGTCTGTAGTCACTTCGTCCTTGTCCTCGCTGTCCTCCCCGTCCTTTACCTCATCCAGCTCAGCCAAGGACATGAGCTCTCCAGGCGTGCAGGCCCCTGGAGGCGGCGGTGGTGGGGGCTCGGTCAGCGGAGGCGGCACGGTCAGCGCTTCTTTCGAGGCCGTGGCCCACGCTGAGTCCCACAGCAACGGACTGGAGGCTGAACTGGAGCATCTGAGGCAGGCCCTGGAAAGTGGTCTGGACACTAAGGAAGCCAAAGAGAAATTCCTTCATGAAGTCGTGAAAATGAGAGTGAAACAGGAAGAAAAGCTCAACGCAGCCTTGCAGGCCAAGCGCAGCCTGCACCAGGTGAGAGGGGAGTGGGTGCGGGCGGTCTTGGCCAGGCCCAGAGCATCTGCCGACCCTCCCCCCAGGAGACTCGGGATGGGGACCCGCACCGTGCGGGAGGGCTGTGGCACCACTGTGACCTCTGCGGAGGAGGGGAGGGGTACGGAGAGACTGTCTTCAACACACCTCCGCGTGCCTGTCGTGATCCCCAGGGAGCGAGGTGCCCCCTCGGCCGGCTGCCTCAGACTGGCTTCTCCCTCTGATGGATGCCGAGTGTTTTTCTGTTATAATGAGGCCTGGGCTATTTTTAGTGCAGGGAGTGAGGAGCAGCTGCACCAGAGACAATTTCACACTTTAACTGTGTGCGTTTGCCAAAAGTGGGTACACTCGTACACCCGCCGACAAGGAAGGCCCAGCTCCCGGGTCCTGTTGCATGCACATCAGATGATGCATTTTTCTAAAGCTTTGAAAAAAGAAAAGGTGGTGATGCCCAGTTCCTTGGTTCTGACTGTTCCCTGTAGAAGAAGAAACATTCATGAAAAAAAGAACCACAGAATGATGGGGGGGCATCCGTGCTGCCCCCTCTTCGAAAATGTGTTTTCTTCTGCCCACAAATATTTTCATTTTGTCAGCCCCAACCCACCAAACCAACCATGGTGGTTGCCATGATGCTGCTCATGAGTCCGTTTACCATTGCCCTGCGCCTAGATCGCTGCTGTCTCCCGGTCACCCTCTCTCCTTTCTGAATTTGCACCGCACTCCCCATAAACAGAGCTAACGTCTTACTAGTGTATGGAAGTCAGAGTTTCAGGGTTTCCTATCCATAATTTTGTGGGGATATTTGCACTTGATTGTACACAGCCATCATTTTGAATTCATTTGGGATTTTGCTTTTTGTTGTTGTTGTTTTTGTTTGTGTTTTGTTTTGTTTTTTTCTGGACACAAACAAGGTGTAGTCTGGAGGGGAGGATGCCCTCGAAATGCTCCAGAGTACTACTAGGCTACAAGATTGCATGATGAGACGAGCAGCCTGGGTGATATTGAGAGCTGGAGTGCGATTTGGGTGTGGGTGTACCCAAAAAAAAATTGTAAATAAAGTCTGAGAACATTTAGCACTTAGGGGTTTGGTTTTTTTTTTCTTTTTTAATTTCCTAGGGTGTTTAGAACTCTGTGGCCCACCCAAAGGCTTCAAAATTAACACCTCTGTCTAGCGCAGCGTGGCAATGAGAGATTGTCTGACAACTCTGTGGAAAGTTTAACAAGTAGAATGTTTTTTAGCCCAATACAATGCTGTCAGCATTTCACGTTCCAGAATTTTAAAAATTAACATCAATATGTAGTTTAGTTTACTTGCAGTGTGCCCTGGCAAATCTTTTTCTTTTAATCTGGTTTAAGGTGTGATTTCAAAAGAGAACATTAACTAAATTTTTTTTTTTGCAGGATGAATGGCAAGGGGATTTAATTACCTAAGCTTTATAAAACCTTTTTGGTGAAAATTTGAGTTTAGGTAGCCTCACTTGAAAAGATGTCAGTGTTCATAGAGGTTCCCCTCCCATCACCTCCCACACACCGCCAGCCAGTGAATTCTTGGTAATCACACGAGAAGCCCTTTGGTTCCCAGGACCGCCATCACCTCTCCTTTGGCCTGGTCTTGGACAGAGGTTGTTGCTTTTCTCCATGTAGCAGAAACATAAAGAAAGGGGCATCTTTCTGCAGAATAGCCTTTTTCTTTTTTTTGGCCTTTTCTGGCTTGGCTCAGCCATGGAGGGAGGACATTTTCTGGGCCCCCCAATTTCATCTTCCTCTAGTGGACATGAAGGTGTTGTCTCTTCCCCCTCATTTCTCTCAGTCTCTCCTTTCCATCTTCCCCCATACCTATGTGCGCAAAGGCAGGAGCCGGTGGGCCTGGCTGGGAAGTGGTCAAAAACCTCTTCTGGCCCTCGATTGTGTCTTAGCAAAAATGTCTTTTTTTTTTTTTTTTGAAACAAAAAACGTGCTTCTTAAAGGGAATTGGGACCAAAATTTACCTTGAAAAACATATTGTCCCTGGAAATGAATGGAATGTCAGTACAGATAGACTTTGTGTTCCACCCTGTGAAATGGTACCTGCATTTTACAATTTGAGGTGTTTAATTTTATAAAGCAGTATTTTGTTTCCACCTTGTCTACACCAGCTCCTTTCAGGGGAAGTTGTGTAGAGATGAGTGTGATGTGGCCTTTGTTGGCCGGCTGGGGCAGTAGGGTGGCCGGGAGTCCTCGGGGCCCCCCGAGGAGGGATCTCGTGGCGTGGCTGGCCACTGCCAGAGGGAGGAAGCTTGAGGACGGGTTACCTGGGGCTTCCAAAGCAAACTCACCTTGCTCTCCTTTGTACCCTGGAGGAGCTGGAGTTCCTACGAGTGGCCAAGAAGGAGAAGCTTCGAGAGGCAACGGAGGCCAAGCGCAACCTGCGGAAGGAGATCGAGCGCTTGCGGGCGGAGAATGAGAAGAAGATGAGAGAGGCCAATGAGTCCCGGCAGCGGCTCAAGAGGGAGCTGGAGCAGGCCCGGCAGGTCCGCGTGTGCGACAAGGGCTGCGAGGCCGGCCGGCTGCGGGCCAAGTACTCTGCGCAGGTGAGCCGGCCCGCGCTGGGGCCGCGGGCGGGCATCGTGGGGCGTCTTCTCCGGAGGAGGAGACTGAGGCTCAGCCTGGGGCCGGTGGGCCTGGTGCAGCATTTCTTGGTAGCCAGCTCCCCAGGTAGCTAAGGGGCTCAGCGAGGCTGGGGACGAGCCCCGGCGTGGGCCCGAGGACCCCTCTGCTGGCGTGGCCTGGGCTCTTTAAGGGAGATGGTGTGGATTTCCGGATCAGGAAGGGGCAGGGGGGCGGTGAATTGTGTTGCTGCCCCGCAGGAAGGGACGTGCTCTTGGCCTCCGGGCGTCACCTCTGCCTGATAAGGGGGGTCCAGACTAAACAGAGGGAGGGAGCGGGCCTGAGAGCAGAGGGTGGCCGGCCAGCCCCCGCTGCCTCCTCCATTCGGGCCTCCTCTTTGTCCGCGTCTTTTTTCGTGCCTCGGGCACGTTTGTGTCGGCGAGACTGATCCTCTCGCCAGTGCCCGCAGCTTCCAGGGGACTGAGCCACCCTGGCCTGGCGCCTTGTGCCCTGCACGGGGAGTGGGTGCGTGCACTCGCATGCTTGGTTGGCGCGCAGTGGGCTCTCCCCACTCCTTTCTCCTCAGTTTCTTAAGGAGAAATAGCATCCAACAGGCCCAAGTCTGGTGGAGGTGAAGCGCGCAGAACCTGGGAAGGATCTTTTAGGCCTAGTGAGCAGTGGGGCTGAGTGTTGTGTGTGTGAGCCTGCAGAAGGTGCAGCAGCCCAGTGCCCCTGCCCCAAGTCTGCCAGAACTGGGTCCCAGCTGTGACAGATTTGGTGCACCTAATTCTCCCTGAACTTCTTCCGTGGCCTGGCGAGGCTCTCTTGCCACCTCCTTGGATGCTTCTTTCCACCAAGGAGTCTCGGAGAGAGCTGTGACTGAGCTTCCACAGCCCCTCCTCTGGCGTGGGCTGAAGTGCGAGGCTCCACCGCCCTTGGACTTGACGGTCCGGAGCACAGGGGGCCCGGCTCCCGGGCTGCTTGACCAGAATCCTCCCATCCACCTCCAGTAGGGGGGCCAGTCACCGAAATTCCCCTCCCCGTCTGTGCAGCCTTCCCCGTGGCGGCGGCCCTCCAGCGGTTGGCGTAGGGCCGTGTTCGGTCATCAGATGAGTGACAAGTCCCGATGGTGGGACTTAAACCCCTTATGGCCGGGGCCTTGGGGCGTGCGCCTCCGTGGGCTTGTGAGTCTCTGCGGGGATGCATGGGGGTCCGTGGGGGCACACACCTCTCCCAGGCCTGGTTAACACCCATTTCCTGTGGCTTTCAGATCGAGGACCTGCAGGTGAAGCTTCAGCATGCCGAGGCTGACAGGGAGCAGCTCCGGGCCGATCTCCTGCGGGAGCGGGAGGCCCGGGAACATTTGGAGAAAGTTGTGAAGGAGCTTCAGGAGCAGCTGTGGCCTAAACCAAGCCCTCAGGCCAGCGGCGGCCACAGAAACGAGCTGGACAGCGAGCTACCGCATGAGCCCCGAGCCTGAGGCGCTCCCTCCGCCAGTGATGGGCACACGCGTGTGCCCGCGTGTGTCTGACGGGACGAGCGTTTCCACACCCAGGAAACAGACTAGGGGTGCGCTGGAGGGCGCCCTTGACCCCTGGCAGCAGAAGCACTGAGTTCCTGCCTCTCCCCGTCCTATAGCACAACATCTTCCTGTGCCTCGAACATCGCTGAGTGTTGACGAACAGCGCTTTTGGACGCCACCCGGCGACGTTTTCTACTGGTCAGCGAGCGCAGGGGGCTCCCCCATTTGGTCCCCGCTTGCTGGAACACTTGGAAACGCAAACTTTTGTTATAAGCTATTTAAGACAGTGACAGACCTGATAGTCCCAGAAATGAACAAGTTTTTTATAAGTAAATTTTCAAAACCCACAAACACTTGGTGATGCACAATTTGGATGAGTGGTTACACGGCCGCGGCCCAGGGGAGGCCCCAGCTCGCTCCCGCAGCCCTCCGCCGGCCAGGCCTGGGGAGCCCTCACGGTTTGACCTTCTCATGTGGTTTGATTGGGAGATTTGAGTGAGTTTGGTTTTTGTTTTTTGTTTGTTTGTTTTTTAAGTCTTTATTTTTAAGTGATCAGTACCTAGTTTTCCAGCACGGATGCTAGAAGAAGAAGAGTGTGTGGGAGAGAGAGATGAACTGAAAAGCTGCCCAGCCTTACTGAAGACGTACGTCATGGCTCCTGCGTCGTCACCCCGAGTCTGCAGACGGCCGCGGCTGCTGTGTTCAGAGACACCCCCCCCCCCCATCGTGCCCCAGCACCCAGGAGGAGGAGGGGGAGGCCGGCCCGAGTCACTCTGAGGACAGTCGCTTCGTTTTTTTTACTGGATTGCGCTACTTTGTTACATCCCTTTCCTCATAAAGGACAGTATTTATCTCCCCATTGTTCAGGTTATCCCTGCGCACGGCTTCCCAGTGTCCAGCGCTCCTGTCGCTGCTGTGAATGATCGGTGGCCATGCCTTGCAGTATGACCAAGGGGGCTGCTTTAATTCTGGGATCCACTGAGACCCCCCCACCTCTGCACCAGAACAAAATGCAGCATTTCATCATCGCTTGGTCTTGGGGCTGTTTTCTGTCTGTCTGTCTGAACTCATCCTTAGACTGCACTTTGTTGAAAACTCCCTGTGTCTTTTTCTTCCCGCTTATCAATCAGCTCGAGTTGAAAGGTTTTCACTTTTAAAATATATTGTACCAATGTTCTCAAACAGATTCTATCCTAGCACTCAAGTGCTTAGAAAATTTCCTTTGGTGCTTGGTTGAACAAGGGACACATAAGAAAATAATAATGATGCAAAACCTGAATCCTGGGGGGTCTCTGTGTGCCTTCCTGCGTCTTGTATGTTCAACACTGACTTGTGACTTTCCCCTCTCTCCAAACCCCCAAATACCTATCAACAGTGTAGAGAAATGGAATCGACCAGTATCAAAAGAATTTCATGCTTGCTTGAAAGCATTTATTACAGATAATCTCATTGGCTTTCAACTGTTTGTGCAAATTTATAGAAGGTTTGTTCTGCCCAAACCTGAAAGCAGTTTTCCATAGACAAGAGATGGCTTCCCATCCTAAAATTGTAGTATTTATTTACATAAAAAATAAGATTTTACAGGAATTCTATGCTAACCGCCATGGTGACTGAGCATTAACTGGAGGTTAATGTGTTAGGTGCAAAAAAAAAAAAAAATTATCAATATAGGTCAGGGAAGCAACAGCTACCACCCGCTAAATCCACAGAAATTAGGCAGAAAAGAGCATTGGCAGGTTTTCTCTCCCCACCCCCACCCCCATTCTCTGATGTTGGAGATCCTGGTTCTGTTGAAGTGGCCCCTTCTCACGTGCAATGCAAAAAGAACATTGTTGAGACAGCATTTTATGTGGGATCTTTTTTTGTTTCTCGTTTTGTTTGTTTTTTTGTTTTTTGCTTCTTTGTATGTTTTTCTTTTACAGTTATTAAAAATTCATATGCATGGAATTTAAAAATCTCTGCCATATGTATATTCATTAATGGGCATTATTACTGATTTGTGTAAAGGGTTTATTTTGTTATGCAATATGCAGAATACTGTTTCAGGCTTAGGTGTTTCCAGATTTGTACTTTTTCAGCTATTTCTTCAAGGGAAACTAGCAATTGAGTTTTAGCAGCGCTTTTAGGTGTGTTAGCATATCTGTGTTGCTGTGCTAGGTTGCCAAGTCGAGAAATTACACAGAGAACAAAAGGCTTTCCCGTGGGCGCGGGTTTGCTTGGAGGCGCCGTGCTCAGGGAGGGTGGCTGGGGCTTCACTTCTGCGTTCTAGACTCAGGTGTGAGTAGGTGGTCCTCCTTACCCAGCAGTGGATAAAACCCTTTTCCCTTCCAGGTGAATGAGCCTGGAATACTCCTCCCCCACCCCCTGGTGGACATCTCCCCAACATCTCCCCTTCCACCATTTTCTGCCAGAAAGTGCATGTTCCACCCCTACCCCCTTACTACCCCGAGCCTTGTTTCTTGAAAAATCAGTGAGATCTGAACACTTTGCAGTAACTTGTCCCAAAGAGTATGGGGTTAGAACACACCCCCCCGTCCCGGTGATCCCAACAGTATTGAGTTACTTGGCATCAGATTTTTTTTTAAGGCCAAATTTTTCCCTTGAGAGCATTCACACTGATTCTGCTGGGCACAGGCTGCCCACGAAATGCAGCTGTGCCGATTTCCTGATGATCGGTTCATATCAGAGCTAGGAGATGTTGATTTTTTTCTTCTCTTCCCACCCTGCGCCCCCCAAGTTGGCATATGCAGCCCCTTGCAAAACCTTTTCAAATTAAAGTTATCGATGAATGGAATTCAGTCTTATTTCACAGATTTGATAGAGAACGATGTGAACAGACTATGGGAACAAATTCTCCTCACCAGCAGCTCATTGTTAGGTTGTTTTTCGGTCAATTAACGTTCAATTTTTTCTTTTTCCAGCGTGCACAACCCCAAATTGGGTGACTTGTGATTGGACCCTTCCCCCCCTTCATTTTATTTTGTTTGATAATAGTAGAATCACTTGGAACTGACTGGCATGTGTCTGTGCGCGAGCCCCTTGCCACACAAATGAGAGGCCCTTTGCCAGATTTTGTAGCTGCTTAAAGTACATGTTTCTAATCCTAGGCCGTGTAGGAGCAGCTAACTCCTGCTGCACTGGCAGCCTTGGAAGAGGAGGAGGAGGAGGGAGGAATTGGTTCCCGGTGTGATTTCTGTGTATAAAGCATTTTTATACTGCAGCCAAACGAGGTCGCTTAGAGACAGAACTGCTCATAGTTTTACTCCATTAATGCAGCTGCAGCTTAGTTTTCTTTAAGAAGAAGGGAGAAGAGGTGTCTTGTAGGCTGTTGACTCTCCCTATACTTAAATATATTACCTAGATAATTGTATATTCAGTTTAATTACTCATTGTTTCTATACTGAAAGAAGACTTAACGAAGGGAAAAAACCAACAGCAATAACATTCATATCTATGGAGCAGCTAACTAGTACACATAATATTCTGCTTTTCATACAAAACTAGCCAATATGTAAAAAAAAACAACAAAAATAACAAAAAAAATCAACATGTAAATACTTTTTTTTTTTCATTTTACACTGTTGTATTATAAGTGTATATGGTGGTTACTTTTTCAGAAACTCTTTCTTACTTGGTAGTCGTCTTGTTTTCTGAGTTGTGTTTTTAACAAAAAAAAATTCTTTGCTTGTCTGTTGGGGGGTTTGGAAAACACTTTTGGCAAGTTTTCAATGTGGGTTATCATTTTCCATCTTAAGTTTTGGGTCCTTATTTTCATGGTAAAATATTTTATTATTAAAGGTTAAATTCTCTTCTCCTCCCCCCCCAAAAGTCCACATGTTTTTGAGGGAGGTTTTTTTGTTTGTCAGAAGTTATAAATGACATTTTTTTTCAATTGAGGAAAAAAAAATCTACATTTATAATAGCCAAGAGCATTTCAGCACATTTCTGTTCTCCTGTTTTCTCCTATGCTGCTGCTAATGACAATATTATGACTTACTCTACTATTCAAGAACTATTTTTATGTAATTAATGTATGCTTTCTTGTTTATAAATGCCTGATTTTAAAAAACGAAAAAAAAGAAAGAAAAAAGCTTGGCATATTTATCTATCTCGCTGTCTACCTTGTTGGTCCTTCCCCCCCCCCCCCCCCCGAAACAGATAATATTGTAAAATAAAGGCCTCTATGAGAATATGTATGAAAATAGCTCTGCTTATATACCAGTGACTGAATGTACAGTGTATAGACGCATTACCTAAAATAAACAAAAGTGTTTGGTTCAACTATTTCCACATTACGGAATCTTCTGTTTCCTTCCTTTTGGGTATTTGGGACCAGCCCAGGGTTAGAAGAGGGATGGCTTCTTTCTGTCTGCCCTGTCTCCCCAACTGATGCAGATGGCTCCCCCTGCCCCCAGCCCAAGACTCCTCTTGTTTCCGTGGCTCATCTTCCCATTAAATGGTCAGTCTCTTTTGAGGTCAACAGGTGGCCTGGGAAGCTTTCCTACCAGCACTTGTTTTAATGACTGGCTCCACATGGGCTGATGGCGCTCCAATTTAGAATGGAGCAGAAAAGGGATCTGTCTTCCCTGAAGCCCCAAGTCCCTTTTCTCTTTGGGTATGCTTTTCCATATGGCCCAAAGTGAGTGAGGTCTATAACATTACCAAAGTCCTGAACTGACTGGCAGCAGGACTGTTTTCAGAAAATGGCCATTTGCTGGTGTGACAGTCTCTTTGAAGGTCTGTTAAGTACCCTCTTCCCACAGGGCATTGAAGGAGAGAACGAGGGAGAGGGACGGGGTCAGCAGTGAGGCTGAATTCATGCTGGGCACCACTAAGGGATCATAAGATAGCTCCTCCATTGGGGGCATGAGGGATCAGGTGTGTGGAGGAAAGGAGCAAGACGTAGGAGATGGAATCTTGCTTCATAGAGTATCTCATCTCCTCAAACCCCCCCCCCCCGAAAGATTCATGCCTTTTAATACTTTAATCACTAGGGTTGCTTTTCTATTAAACTACAAATTACCCTCCAGGCTTCCAGGGAGCCAGTGGCAAGAAGGCTGGTCCTTCTACCAAGAGGGAGAGTAATTAGTGATTCAGAAAGAACTGAGCTAAGGGAGACTCCATAAAGGGGGGAGTAAAAGTTCATTTGGGTTAGGGGGGAAATTTCCAAAGTATAACTCACGGATTACTCTAGTTAACTACATGCTGCCTGTGTGTGCTTTCTCATTTGCTTCTCTTGTACTTTGACATTTATTAATTTTTTAGAAGTTTCAAATCTTGGGTTTCTTCGGAAGTGTTAGCTGGAAAATACCACCTTCTCTTTTGCGGAAGCCTTAAATGGCAAAGAGAATGAAATGAAAGCTTCACTTTAAGCACAGGGGCATTAGGAGGATTATCCTATTAAGGACTGAGATTTTAAATGTCCAGGACTCCATGGCAGAGTGTTCCCCAGCAGGCCAGTTGGCAGGGGTTTTACTGCCTCAGGGTCACCAAAGCCAGCTCCGTCTAAGATTAGCCCAAACAAGAATCCCATCCCCTCTTTTTGAGCCAAATGGAAGTTATTTAAGGTTAAACTGACCGCTATTCATTTACATGTTAATCCAACTACTATTTTATCCAGTTCCAAGAATGTGCAAAGCACCGAGCGCTAGGCTTGGTACAAGAAAAGGTACAAAGAGTAAATATGGCCCCCGACCTAACACAGTCCATGATCTAGTAGAGAAATTGGGGAACCAGAGAAAATACACAGGGCAGAATTGAATATGAAAAATAATATAATGAAAGAAATGAGCCCTAAAGGAGAATAGCCTTGGATCTTGGATCGACAACTGGACGTCAGAGGACCTCTAGTTAAAGCCCCTTATTTTATAGATGAGAAAAACCAGGTCTACGGATATGGTCACACAAATGATGTGTCAAGTCATAGGATCTGAACTCAGATCCTTTGTTTCTACCAGTCCTCTTTCCACTACTCCACCGTTTGAGGTAGGAAGGAGAGAACACTTTCTAGGAGAGATGGGCAAAGGCTTTCTGGGGCAGGTGGCGTTTGAACCAGGGTCAGAGGAGAGAGGGCATCCGAATTATAAAGACCGGCACAGAAGAAAGCACAAGTGAGAAAACAGTGAACGCATTCAAACTTGAACGTCCTTTCCATTTTGAATCCTCTGGCTGGAGGGGAAGACAGCAGAGGCAGACTCCTTAGACTCCTAGGTAAGAGTTACATCTGAGGGCCTGGAGACAGTGGGAATTGAGAAGGGCGGACAGATGGATGGGAGACCCTGGAGGGATTAATAGGCCTTTGCTTGTGGTCTCATTGTGACTTCCTGGGGCCCACATCCTGAGAGTAGCTACTGCTGGCAGGTCAATATGTACCAAGATGGCCGGTAGCCTCGCTATCCACGGGATGCGGGGAAAGAACAATGGTGGAGCAAGGCCCCTTCAAATCTGCAGATCATGTCGAACCTAAGCCCCCATCTTCCTTGCTTCTCAGAAGCTGGCCTTGCAGACCCTCAGCTGGTACCCTTAGGGGCCCTGAGCCACCTTCACTGGTATGATGTTGGGATTGCCATGGGCTGTGTTTGTCTCCACCGTCCACGGAGGCCTGTGGCCTGGTAGATCTTGGGCAGGGGACTATTCCATTGGCTAACTAGCCTCTTGGACTGGGCTCCTCCCCTTTCTTTTTCCTTGCTCTTTAATTAAAACCAAACTCTTCCAACATGGATGGAGAGATGATGTCTGCTTTCTTCCCCACAGCGCATTGGGCTCAGAAGGGGACTCAGGAAATCACTCAGTAGTGGTTTATAGCTGCCTAGCTCCTGCAGGTTTAGCCCTATGCTAGGCTTAGAGAGGGAAACAGAGAATCTGAGAAAGATAGGATTTGGAGCTAAAAGGAACCTGAGAGGTAGCCCCAACCCTCATTTTGCAGATGGGGAAACAGAGGCAGGGAAGGAGGGAGTCTTTGGTGGCAGAGCCAAGCTGAAGCTCTAGTCTCCTGACTCCTCATCCTTCAGTCTTCATACTTTGAGCTGGAAGGAAACTTTGGAGATCAAGTCCAACTCCCCCATTTTACAGTTGGGGAAACTAAGGACCGGGAAAGTTAGGCAATTTTCTCAATTGCTGAGACAGGATGGTCTTGAGGACCCAGGTCCTCTGACTGCCAATCGAGTTCCAGTCTTCTTCCCACTCAGTCTTATTGCCCTTCCCTGTGTGGGAAGGAAGGAAGGGAGAGAGAAAGGGAGGAATAGAGGAAGGGAGGAAGGAAGGAAAGTAGGAAGGAAGGAGGGAGGGAAGGAAGAAAGGAAGGGAGGGAGAAAGTCAGGGAGGAAGGAAAGGAGGGAGGGAAGGAAGGAAGGGAATGAGAGAAGGAAGGAAAGAAAGAAGGAAGATAGGAAGGGAAGGAAAGAAAGAAGGAAGATAGAAAGGAAGGGAGAGAGAGAAGGAAGGAAAAAATGGAGGAAAGGAAGGGAGGGAAGGAAAGAAAGAAGGGAGGAAGGGAAGGAAGGAAAGAGAGAGAAGAGGAAAGATGAGAAGGAAGGGAGAGAAGGAAGGAAAGAAGTGAGGGAAAGAGGAAGGGTAAGAAGGAAGGGAGAAAGAAAGGAAGGAAAAGGCATATAATAAGTGCTTATTCTATGTCAGGGAATGTACTAAGTCCTGGGGATACAATCCAGACAGTCCCTGCCCTCAGGAAGTCTGTATTCTAAAAGGAGAATAAAACATTTAGAGAAACTTCTCAGAGAAGTAGGAAAGGGAAGTCAAAATTATAGTGGAGCTACAGGAATAGGGATCAACTAGCCTTACCTGGAATGGCAGTGTTGATCTGATTGCTGTTTTCAGAACCAGAGTTGGGAAAGTTGCAGGGAGGAGAGGGGGACGTATGCAAAGAGTGGCCGGGAAGTGACATGGAGGGCTTGAGACAGGAGAGTTAGACACAAGATTGGATTGAGTATGGGACTTGGAGTCAGGAATATTTGGGTTCACATTCTGCCTCAGATACTCCCTAAGTTCTCCATCCCTGAGCAAGTTCCTTCGACTCAATGGTCCTCAGTTTCCTTCTCTGTAAAATGAGGAGAATCTCTAAGGTGCTCTCCTCCAATCCCCACATCTGGGCACTAAGTCACTTATTGATTCAACCCCTGAAATATCGTTTATGTCCATCCCCTTCTCTCCATTCCCATAGCACTGCACTCTCTTCCTAAGTGGTCTCCCTGCCTCTTGTCTGTCCTCTCTCTAATCCTTTCTGCACAGGCTTCCAGAGTAACCTTGATCCTATCACACCATCGGTCATCTTTCCATCTGTTGTTGTTCAGTCATTTCAGTCATCTCCAACTTTTCATGACCCCATTTGGGGTTTTTTTGGCAAAGATACTGGAGTATTGCCATTTCCTTCTCCGGATAATTTTACAGATGAGGAAACTGAGGCAAATAGGGTGAAGTGACTTGCCCGGGGTCACACAGCTATTAAGTTTCTGAGGTCAGATTTGAACTTATGAAGATGGATGTCTTCCTGACTTCAGGCCCAGCACTTTATGCCTCATGGCGCCACCTAGCTGCTCCATCCTTCCATCTAGTTGCCATTTATTTGTGTCTTTGTCACGTCTAGTCATAATGGTTGCCCATTTCCTCCAGAGGAGTGTCTACTCTGGATGCTGGACTGAGGTGATTCACACAAAGTGCCAGCAGTTACATTAATGTTTGTGATTTTTAACACCCCTATCCTGTCTTCCACCATTCCACCATCATTACTGTAGAACCAGAAAAGGCCTAAATAGCTTGATATATGCCAGCTCATGTTCTGATTCATTTTATTCACTTTGGGAGCTGCTGTATGCCATTGTAGACTTATGGTGAGCTTATAGTCCACTCAGACCCCCAAATCTTTTCCCGACAAATTTCTGTTTAGCAATATATCCCCTTCCTTGTACTTAGGAAGCTGATTTTTGGGCCCACATGTAAGACTTTACATTTATCCCAATTAAATTTATTCTTATTCAACTTATTCACTGTTCCAGCCTGTTAAGATCTTTTTGGACCCTGACTGTTATCTAGTGCATCAATTGTCCCTCCCAATTCTCTGTACCATCTATAAATTTTATGAACATACCATCAATGCCTTTAGCCAAGTCATTGATAAAATTGGTTGATACCTCCCATTCATATATTAAAATTAAACAAGACTCGATGAAAGTATTAACCACAGAGACAAGAAGCCTCCTATCAACTTGTACAGCAGTGGTATTGAACTGAAATAAAATTGGGGGACACTGAACCATATATAATGGTCCCTGCAGGCTAC